TGCGCCAGTAATATGAAGAATAAACTTGCAATATTATTAAATAAAAAAAGTAGGAGACATGATAGAATTATTATGTAGAAAATTAAGGTAAAGGATAAAATATAATTATTTAATAATAAGGAAGGGCAAGATGAGACTAAAAAAAGTAAGATAACGACGCGACCATACCAAACCAGTCGTTACATAAAGTGGCACTTTTCATCGTTACATAACAACAGATTTAATGATACGATACAATAAAATTTAAGTAACAATCAAAATAAATATTGTATTTAAAGTAACAATACAATACAATAAAATAGATAACAACCATCCAAACAAGCTGTTAGCCAGTAAATGTATAATATATTCATGTATAATATGTATATAACTGTATATAATTATTATTTATAAGCGTATATAATCAGTTTGTGTAGTAAAAAATGTAAGCAGTAAATCCGACCAGCTATTTGGGTAACAATCCTGATAAATAACTACTTCTCAATAGGGTTGTGCATTTGGTTCGGATATCCGAGAATCCGAACCGATCCGCCCTATTCGGATTTTCGGATTTTAGATTTTGGATATTCGGATTGGATATGGATTAGGTTTTTTAAAAGTTCGGATATTCGGATTGGATTCGGATTGGTATATTTTAATCCAATCCGATCCGAAATCTGAAATATATGGACATGTATAAATATTAGACTCTTCATATTGCTTTGTCCGCTTCTCTTAAGTCTTACCTTTGTGTCTCTCATTCTCAGTCTCTCTTTCCTAACAACAGACAACGTCGCCTCTTCTTTATTAAATTTGTTCGGAATTTACACTTTATTTTATTTTGCTATGAAACTTTTATTTTTGTCTATTGCTATGATAGATATTTGTTTCCTTTCAATTAAATAAAATGGTGAATAGCAATAGACTTAAAAATATCGTAGCCGATTAGATTGTTAGTAGCCTTAATAAGACGTACAATCCGATCCGAAAATCCGAAATATTTACCGATCCAAACTTTAAAATCCGATCTGCCATCCAATTTAATTTGGATTGCATTTTATAAAATCCAAAATCCGAATTCACAATCCGAAATATGCTAAATCCGATCCGATGGGACCGATGCACAACCCTACTTCTCAATGAGTTATCCGGAGCAGAAAACTGACCCGAGAAAGAACCCGTTTCTTGTGGCCCATTTGTCTTTGACCGCCTCCGAAACATATATAGCCGTTATCATACGTTAACATTCAATCAGAAACTCAAATCCTTCTCACTGAAGAAATTCTAACGCGCTCTCTTCTCTCAGAAATTGCTCTGCGGAAAACGCCATTAACACTGACTATTCTTTCTCTCTTTCATTGTTTCATTGTTGCTCTGCGGAAAACGCCTCTGTATTCACTTTTGTAGTAATCGTTTGAGTATCCAAAGATTTTAATTGGCTGGGTCTGTATCTATGGATGCAGGGAGCAGATACAACAACAAGTTTCGCCGTCCTCTCTTTACTCCGATATCTCACAACAAAACTTCTCAAGAGAATGTACGATTTCTATTTCCCTGTATATATATATATATACGGTTTCTTGAGTTTGTGTCATGATTTCTTCGCTCATTAAATTGGGTTCGATAAACCCAACTAATTTAGGGTTTTTGGCGTCGTTGATAATTGATTGATATTTTTTCTTGGCTCGTTAGTTGCAGTGAATTAGTGTATCCTTTTTGATTTTTTTTGGGTTTTGTGCGTTTTGCTTAATTTGTGTGCAACTTGGAATTCCTCTTACCTTTTTTCCCCTGTAATTACGGGGAATTTTTTTAATTTTTTATTATTATGCAATCTTAATTATTGAACATATTTTCTTGCGATCTGGTTTTGCTACATATTTTCCAGTTTTTCCTGTTATTCATCTTAAATTGTATGTCAATGTGGTTAACTGATCACTTCTACTTTTTATTAATAATTTTTTTTGGATGTTTTTACATTTTTATTTAGAGAAAGAAGCTAAGAGTATGGGGTTTATTGAAGGTGAAGAAATTCTTTTGGACTAAAGTTTATTCCTAAAATGTCAATCAAACTTAGGAAATTGAAATTGGGAAATAGGTAAAGGTTTTGTTTTTGCTTTGAGCTTTCATCAATCAAAATAGAAAATAAATTTGAGTTAGGTGTTTTAACATGTACAGATGAAGTTTCAGCTCTTTTTGTCATCTCATCCTGTTTTGTGTGGTATTCTAATGATTATTCTCATTATTTTTAGAGTGTCAGCATTATGTCGTGTTTTGCTTTTTATATGAAATTTGCTGTTAGGTTGAGTTCTAAATGCTAAGTTTTTTGTGAAATGCAGTTGGACAGGTTCATTCCCAACCGTTCTGCGATGGATTTTGACTATGCACATTACATGCTCAGTGGTGGAAAGGTTAAAAAGGAAAATTCTGGAGTAAATTCTGCATCTAAAGAAGCCTATACAAAACAGTTAGCAGAAATTTTCAACATGAATAGAACAAGGATCCTCGCTTTTAAGAATAAGCCTCCGCCTTCGGCTGAGAGAGTTTTTAAATCTCCATCACCTATTCAACAGTCAAAGACCACTAAAAAGAGGAGATTCATTCCCCAAGTGTGTATTTCTTTCTTCCCCTTTTTACTACTCCCTCTGTCACAAAAAGAATAACACTTTTCGGATTTCGAGAGTAAACGAATTATTAAATGAGTTGTTCCTTGACCACGAATTTTTCATATACCTTTTAAATATTTGAATTGTTAATTGTTGTGACTTATAGTGCTTTATATGTAGTTTCCAAATATATAAATTTTATTTACAAAAACGTAAAGATTCTATGTCCGAATTCATGGTCAAAGTTAAGAAGTTTGACTCTCAAAATCCGAAAACTCTCATCCTTTTTGGGAGGAGGAGTACTCATACTTAGATGTTTTTTTTTCCGCTTTTGTTCCTAACTTAGAGAACTCCTTTGAAACAGACTGCAGAGAGGACGCTGGACGCTCCTGATATACTAGATGATTTTTATCTCAATTTGTTAGATTGGGGATGCAGTAACATTGTCGCCATTGCCCTAGGAAATTCTGTATATCTGTGGGACGCTTCTGATGGTTCTGTTACTGAGCTTCTCTCAGTTAGTGATGATTTAGGGCCAGTGACTGGTGTCAGCTGGGCACCAGATGGAAGACATCTTGCATTGGGCTTAAATAATTCCCATGTTCAGTTGTGGGACTCCAGTTCCAGCCGGTTGGTGAGTAGATTCTTTCATCATATTTCTTTTAGTCTAATTAGCATACAGCAAATTAATATTCTATATCAGAAGTCTAATATCTTTTCTTTATAAACAGCTGAGGACTTTACGGGGACACAGCTTAAGAGTTGGCTCGCTTGATTGGAATGGCCACATACTGACAACTGGAAGCATGGACACTATGATCATCAATAATGATGTGCGTATAAGATCCCACGTCGTTGGAACATACAGGGGACACAATCAGGAGATATGTGGATTGAAGTGGTCTGCTTCAGGCCAGCAATTGGCTAGTGGAGGGAATGACAATTTGGTCCACATATGGAGCGTATCGACGGGATCACCTAACTCTACACGCCAATGGATTCATCGTATGACGGACCACACAGCTGCTGTGAAAGCTATTTCCTGGTGTCCTTTCCAGAGTAACATGGTCGCCTCGGGAGGTGGTGTTGGAGATGAGTGCATAAAGTTTTGGAACACCAACACCGGAGCTTGCTTGAATTCTGTGGATACAGGTTCACAAGTCTGTTCGTTGCTTTGGAACAGACACGAACGCGAGCTTTTGAGTTCTCATGGCTTTACTGATAACCAGCTGACAGTGTGGAAATATCCTTCTATGACAAAAGTTGCAGAACTTTTCGGTCACACATCAAGAGTTCTTCATATGGCTCAGGTATGATTGGTCCACACAAATGCCATGTCGCGTTCATTTATGCTTTATATTTCTTTGCGCTTCACAGTTTACTGACTTTTTGTGTAACATATTTCAGAGTCCAGATGGCTATACTGTGGCGACTGCAGCAGCTGATGAGACACTAAGATTTTGGAATATTTTTGGGAATCCTGAAGAGACCAAGTCTGTGCCAAAGAGAAAACTAGAGCCATTTTTTGACTTGGCTCAGATTAGATAAAACTATTAGGCAAGCAATAACTGTTGGAATGTAGTCACTGAGGATAACTATTGGCACATTTTTATCTTGCACTATTCCGGCAACAAAGCTGCTTGGAGTGACAAGGGAAGAATCGGTGAAGTCCAGACGCGAAAGTAGCTTTGTTTATACTTTTGATGGATGTGGTTGCCAAGTGGTCTAATGACATTAGATGTATTGCAAAAGTAGTGTTCAGATTCTAGATGAGTTTTGGCAAATGTATAGTAAGACTGTATAAAAGTCAGTTTTTGGGACCTTTTTACAGTATGTCATTATAATGTATTACCATTAGTATTCTGAAAGTTCATAAATTGAATTATGGATAACTTTTTCATCTGATGTATTTGGAGTTTATCTTGTTTAGGGAAATCATGTTCAGGTTCTGCTTTGAGCAGCCTTCTCTCTCTGAGTTATGTCAAATGTATTTTTGTTATATTTTTTTGAATGTATAGAAAGTTTGTGGGGACTTTTGTATATGTCATTTAATGTATTACCATTAGTTTGATTTTCTGAAAGTTTATTTTAATTGAACTATGGATAACTTTAATATGAGTTAGGTGTTGATAGTTTAACAGCCGTATTGTGAAATCAATTATGAAACGAGCAAATAAACGGAAACAAACACAAAAAAATATAACAACCACCCAGTGGAATCTCACGACTAGGATCTGGGGAGGGTACTAATGTGACAAATTAACCACGAACAACTATAAAATAAAATATAATCATATGAACATTTGAAAGATAGAGATGAAGAACTATTACATCAATTGGACCACAACAAGACATGACCCCCCATACCCTAAGGTCCCCCCCCCCCCTTACCCTTCCAACCTCAACCCCACACATCCTTTATTCACATGTCCCAATGCTTCCCTTAACCTCAACACTCCCAATACTCATAAAACTTCATTAACTTCCCCAAAACCCCTCCACTTCTGTTTTTCTCTGCTAAAACACAATGTCAACCTCAAAATCTCCATTTGACTAGTTCTAACTACCCATGTAATCAAACCCCTTTTTCCCCCTTAACAAAGTACACTATCAGTCTTCTTCACTTACTTTCTTCAATAACTTTTCTCTCTGTTCTTCTTGCAGGTTTTATCCAAACCCTAGATCTGTCCCCCTTTTAGGTAACCTCAACTACCTCTGCTCTCTACCAACACACACACACACATACACAGAGTTATACACAAAACACAGAGTTGCACAAAAAGACTGATATTTTTGGTAAGCCCATCAACCTCTGCTCTCTACACAACACACCACACACTCAGTTACACAAAAAACACACAGTTACACCAAAAAGACTGATCTTTTAGGTAACCCCATCAACCTATGCTCTATACACAACACATCACTCATACAGTTACACCAAAAACACACAGTTGCACACAGCTACACCAAAAACACACAGTTGCACAAAAAAGACTTGTTTTTTCAATCTTTTTTAATTTTAGCATAAATATAAATTTATTTGTATATTTACTGCTATTGTGTTCTTTTTTGGGTGCAGCTTTTTGTGAAGGGAAAAGGGTGTAAAATGAGTGGGACATCAATATCATTGGGGGTTGGGGTGGGGGGAGGTGGTGGAGAGGTGGGGGTGGCGGGATATGACTATGGATTCCGGCCACCATTTACGGCGGTGCAGTGGCAGGAGTTGGAGCATCAAGCAATGATATACAAGTACTTAGTGGCAGGGATGCCCGTGCCACCGGACCTTGTAGTTCCAATTAGAAGGAGTTTTGATGCTATCTCTGCCAGGTTCTTTAATCATCCTAGTTGTATGTTCCTCTCTTTGTTCTCTTTGTTCAGTGTTTTAACTGTTTTTTTCGGTTTGTTTGAGTATGCATATAACCGACCTCAACTTATTGCACTTGTTGGGATTGAGGCGTAGTTGTTGTAGTTATTTGTAGTTATTTGAGAAGCAATGTTCCTAGATCTGCATGCTCCCATTTTCACCATCGAAGTATGATAATCTCCCAATTCATAAAACGCAAACACTTTAATATGCTCTCAACTACAATAGTTAACCAAATTAAGTAGTGGTAGTGGGGATAGCAGGAATGCTTTAGAATACTAGAGCTGCGTGCTAGTTGGCTGAGACTTTAGGAAAAAGGAAAAAAAGAGACCTTGCTTGTTGTTAAGGGAGTAGAATCATGAATAGCCAAGACTGTTTGATTCTAAAATTTTGGTTGGAAGTATATCATCCATTCAGTTTTTGAACTTATTTCTTATTTTGTAATGGGTAAAGGTAAAAATGCCGCTAAACTAAACGAAATGGTTTAACTTTTCCATCTGTCAAAACATGGCCTCAAAGCTATTCCCATCGTTACCAAATTGGGCCTAATATTGCACTTTTCAACTAACGGACTTGGTTTTGTGTTAATTTTGTATATAATTACCATTTTTTGTCCATTTTAATGTCGGGGGAGCCTAATTAAAAACCCCGTGCCACCTTCAAGTTCAACCATAGACTAGTCGTTGGGGATTTTTCATTTTCACTACCACTGGTGCACCCCTATGAGTATTTTTAGCCCACCAGCTATTATATGATGTAGGGGTGGGCATCGGTCGGATCGGTTCGGTTATGAATATTATCGGTTTTGTCTATCGGCTATCGGTTTACAAATATCGTAACCCGATAACCAAACCGATAAGATATTGGTTATCGGTTATCGGTTAATCGGTTATCGATCATTATCGGTTCGGTTATCGGTTTACCTGATAAGATAAAATAAGTAAAACAGTTTCGCGATGTATAAAACTGTTTCGCAATGTATAAAACAGTTTCAGTATAAAACTATTTTGCTAAAACAGTTTTATAAGATTTTAAGAACTATTTTGCTAAAACTCTTTTCAGAACTGTTCTATTTCACAAGAATTTAAATTTAATGCAACATCCAATAAAATAAACACTAACCAAAGTTTCTATCTTTGTTCAGACGACTAGCAGTAACTCTTTGTATATAGATATCTACTTTTTTACTCTAGTACATAATTATGTATGTAGATTAAAAAGTTTATTAGTTATGAAATACAAATTTTATAACAACTGACACAAGATAACTTTGTAAGAGCTCAACAATTAAAGCACACGACCAATCTCACTTCAGCTTTCAAACAAACCAAGAAAAATCCAAAGCCAGAATGCTTTCAAACAAACTAAGAAAAAGATGAAGACGAAGCAACTAAAAACTTACACGAAGAATCAAGATGAAGCTGAAGAATGCGACTGAGAAATGCGACTGAAGAGTGAAGAAGATGCGGCTGAAGAATCTGATGGATCTGAGAAATGAAGTGAAGATGCGACTGAAGAGTGAAAGAAATAAGCTGAGAAATGCGACTGACGCTGGCCTGAGTCTTGACGAGCTGACTGGTGAGGGCGTGATGCGGCTGACGCCGGCCTTAGTCTTGACGGGCTGACTGGTGAGTGCGTGAGGCGGAGAAACTGAGAAAGAATAGGGAAATCAAAGAGTGAACTATGAAGTATGAATTATGAAACCCTAGTATGTATATACTTAAGGGTAAACTAGTAAATTAGTTAATCCTTATTGGGTTATCGGTTTTACCCAATAATAGAATTGCCAAACCGAGCCCGAACCGATAACCCAATAAATTTTTTTTTAGCCCGTTACCGAACCGTTAATCCAATAACCCGATACCGATAGCCAAATAAATAATTAACGGTTCGGGTTATCGGTTTTACCCGATATATGCCCACCCCTAAGATGATGCCATTGCTGAGTTCTTGAAAAAACCCAGATGAAAAAATTAGCCAAAAAAGTCTTTCAGATTGATACTTTGAGTCTTTGACTATATTTTTTCTCAAATTAACACAATGGGTTTGCCACGAAGTATTCAAGATTGAAATTTACGGCTAAATTTCAACTCAAATCAACACAACGTGAACAAGCCAGATGGAAAAAAATTAAAGGGTCAACTCGTTGAATTTAACTAGAATTTTACCACCCTCAAAAGGCTATGATGAGTACTCAATAGCAATGTCTCACAGGTGTTTTGACGGCAACGCGAGTCGGAGTGGGGTGGCTCAACGCCGGGGGAGTTTGGAAGTATGAAAGGGATTGAGGCGTGTGTGGAGTTAGTGGTGGAGGGAGAAGTGTGAGACGAATATAGAAGGGAAATTGTGGATAATGTGGAAGCCATTGTGGTAGAGTGTAAGAGGATGAGAGGAGATGATGGGAGAAGAGAGTGAAATAGCGAAGGAGAAAATATGATTCGGGGTGGGGTGGGGTGGGGTGGGGGGTGGGGAGAGGGGGGGGTAGGAACAAGAGGCAGGTGAGTTTTAATTAGTGACTGCATCAAAATGTGCTAAAAATGTTAATTATATATAAAACCAAGTTCATCGGCCAAAAAAAAAGCAATATAGGCCCAATTTGGCAATGACATGGATAGCTTTGAGACCAAGTTTTAATAGAGGGCAAAGTTAAACCATTTCGCATAGTTCAAGGACATTTTTGACCCTTTGCCCTTTTATAATGGATTAGTCCTAGAAGAAGTTGTCATCCTCTTTGTTAAAAGAAGATTTCTTTTGAGTAGGATGAATGGGTTCGAGTTTTGAATTAGTCTAATATCTAGTGTAATCTAGCTGAGGATGCAATTCGTGTCAGACCTAGGACATTGCATTAGGGGGGTCAATGATCAACGGTAAGCAAGCAACAAAAGTAGAAAGAGCCAAGAGATGTTACATTTGTCGGTGGGTAATTAGGTTAACTTAGTGTAGTTGGTCATTTTATAGTGCTTGCATTAATGAATGGGAGGCATACCAAACTTTGATGGTTAAATGGGTGCATGCGGATCTAGGAACATTGTTTGTCATCGCTTTCCTTTTCGTCATTTGGGTGGAAAAAAAAACCTTGTTGTTACAACTGTATAATCATGAACAACCAAGCTTGTGTTTGATTCTAAAATCTTTGTTGGAAGTATATTACCCATTCATCTTTTAAAATTTATTTCTTATTCTGTAACGGATTAGTCCTTGAAGAAGTAAGTAATTATTTTTCTTTTACAAAAGCTTGTTTGCGCAAGGGAGTCAAGGATCCATGACTTTGATCTAGTCTTTAGTGTAATCTAATTGAGGGTGCAATTTGGTGACGTGCCTAGGAGGCGAGGACTCCGCGCAAAGGGGTCAACGATCTGTGACAAGAAAACAACAAAAGTAAAGAGAGTCGATAGATGTTGCATTTAAGCGGAGCAATTTACAAATTTAATTCTAGTTAATTAAATATGCTCAACTCTACACATGATTAACTTAACAAATTTAACTATTCGAAAATACATGAGAGCTACCCAGCATCATAACTTGCCAGGTTTGTTGAGCCTTAACTTTTCTCAATCATATATATATATATATATATATATATATATATACAATTTGTTCACCTTTCGCCATGTCACTATAATAATTAATATATGAGAATTGATAGTAAATTGGCAACTTTTACCGTAGCTGCCAGCCTAACCCCCCCCCCCCCCTCCTTTATCCGGGCTTGGGACTTGCCATGTGAGCAAAGCTCACACACGCAGAGTTATAATAATTATTACTCCCTCCGTTCCAGTTTATGTGAACCTATTTACTTTTTGGTCCGTTCCAAAAAGAATGACCCCTTCTAAATTTGGTAACAATTTAGCTTAAACTTACAATTCTACCCTTAATGAGAAGCTTTTATAACAACACAAATACTCTGGGGTCTGGGCCCCTTTTTGACTTGTTTAGGACCACAAATTCCAAAAATCTTCATAAAAGGGCCATATCTGTCCCTCTACTATTAAATATTAGTTATATATATCCTCCGTTATACTATTCGAAGGTATTTGCCCTTGTCGTTATCCTTTTTAATATTTTTGCCCTTTCTTTTAACGGAAAATGCAGCCTCAATTCTGAAATGACACGTGGCGAAAATCTGTTTGATACCCAAATAGCTAACCCATATCCAAAATTGCCTACACATTTACCCGATCCAAAAAGAAAATATTTTTTATTCCCACTTTTCAGTACTTGTGCGTTCATATTTTTTCGCTAAATGCCTCGACTTCTCCTCTCTCATCACTCATGTTCTCTCTCTTTCTTCTCATTTCACAAGTTACCAAGTGCTGATTGATTTTCAATTACCCAAATGGCTTAAGAATCTAAATTAATTTTTTTTGCTTTCAGTTACCCAAGATTCATGGAAGAATCTGGTTTTGCATAATTTTATCAATAACTTCTAGAGAATTTAATTGGATCTTTCCATTTTGGGTTTTTGAGTCTTTTTGCTTTCAATGAATATTACAGACTTTATGTTTGAATTTGTATTTTTTCTTTTTGGGAAATGATGAACATTTCATCCCGGTGGCCTACAGCTAGTTCCATATATTTGTGTTAAGGAGATGCTGAGAATTGAACGGAATTGGCCGAGATTCAACAAGTTTCTTGATAAGAGTTTGTCAGTTTTTGGGTAGGGATGAGGAAGGAGATGTTGAAGATGATTATATCATAAAATTTCTTTTTTATGATATTGGAGAAGATGGCAAAAAATTTCTTTTTTTGCCACGTGTCAGTTTGGAATTGAGTCTGATTGTCCGTTAAAAGGAGGGGCAAAAATATTAAAAAGGATAACGGCAAGGGCAAATACCTTCGAATAGTATAACGGAGGATATAACTAATATTTAATAGTAGAGGGACAGATGTGACCCTTTTCCGTATTTTCTTAAACTCTGTACCCAGTCAAACAGGTTCACATAAATTGGAAGAGGGAGTATATAAATGGTAATTTATTTATTGTTTGAACTATTCATAAATTAAATTATAATCTTTCACAAATTTAATTGTCATGATGTAGCCACACGGTGAGCAGAGAAGCAACTACTCTTCCGCCTTCTACTAAACAATTTTACTTATCATGTTTTTCTTCATCAGTTTTCAACTTCTTATTTTTGTTAAAAACAGTACATAAATATTTTTACAGTTGATATAAATAACCTAAAAAAAGGGGACAGCCCGTTGCAAGAAGCATCCAACATTCCCATAGGGTCCAGGTAAGGCTGCACCCTTAGGGTGTGATGTAGGCAGCCTACATGCTACCCTAATGCAAGTATCAATGGCTTATATAAGTACACTAGACAACTTTATCGTTGCTCAAGACTGTCCTTCCAATTAAATGATAAAAAATTAGCTAATTTATATATAGTACATCAAATTCTAAAAACAACACAGTATTCCTCGAACACGTCCTCTCTTTTTGAAAAAATTGGGCAAATTGCATTGTCTCATTTAAAATGAAGGACAAATAATGCCCTGGATTTTGTGATTTGAACCTGCGATTTTAGCCGAATGGATAATAGCCTTCATTATACTAAATTCAATCATTTATATAAATAGTTAATTTTTTACGGCCGAAGGGCTTGCTTAAACATAGATCCAGCCATATTTGCATCTAATGGGCTATATCTTTGTGCTTCCTTTTGACAATACAGCTTAGGTTGGCATGTTTTTTGCCTTTCCAGAGGCTTATCCAGTGTTTGCTTTTTGGTTTTACACATATTCCAAGGTGTACAGCTGTATAAAATTTAATGTCTCTCTCAAGGACTCCTATTGAGATTGTGCCCAAGTGTCAATACCTATTACCATAATTCCAGTCTCATGGAGTTTTGACTGCAGTGTAGCCGTTCAAATCTAGTAGAACTCTTTTTTTGGCTAGAGAAAGGTCTTTCTTTTTCATTTGGTGGTTGAGGGGCTTGTTAGGCAAATATGTAGCTCATTGTATTTCACATGTGCAGTGAGTTATTGTTCTTATTATGGGAAGAAGTTTGACCCTGAGCCAGGAAGATGTAGAAGAACTGATGGAAAGAAATGGAGGTGCTCCAAAGATGCACATCCTGACTCAAAATATTGTGAGCGGCACATGCATCGAGGCCGTAACCGTTCAAGAAAGCCTGTGGAATCTCAATCTACTTCCCAGTCCTTGTCGACTACTATATCACATATTACTACTGGGAGCAGCAATAGAACTGGAAGTTTCCTAAGTAATAGCAGCGGTAGTTTCCAAAACATGCCATTATATTCCGTTGCTACTTCAGATGTACTTAGTTATGGAAGCACTGCAACAAAGCTGCAGATGGAGCCTGTCTCTTATGGGATAAATAACAAGGAGTACAGGTACGTCCCTTCTTCCTCTGTGGTTCCTGTTCTCTTTAGATGCACTAAATCTCGTTGTTTTGCCGCATAGCTGTTTAATACTGTTTTCTAGTGACAAGTTCTGCTCCTATGTTCTGTTGTTTTCTATTGCTGATAAAAGATTTGCTGGCTCAAATCTTTTCCATTTGAAAGGATGCTAAATAGGACACGGGTGACTGTCACTCCTCGTTTCCCAGTTATTTCAAACTTAAAACTGTCAGGTAGCGGATATGTTCTTCTCTCTTATACTTGATTACCATCTTCCCTTTGTAAAATATTTGAGGTCCAAATTATCTTACATATAGAGGTTGAAATACTAGCGACTATCATGAGTACTTAGAGGATATCACTAACCATGATATTATCTAAAATCGTCATCTGCTTCATCAATTTTAGCTCATCAACTATAGCACAGTTAGACTACTTTATATTTGTCAGGTTCAAGTTGGCTGTCAATAAAATCTCATTAATTTGAGAAAACTGTATCTTGTTTTTTTCAGGCCTGTTCGTAAGTCAGTGTTTGCACTTCACATTTAGTGGTGGGGGGCTGGGTACCATTTGAACACATGTTTTCTTATTACTGCTCCAGTGGATATGTCTGATATGGTGTAATGTTGGTCTTGCCTTTGGAGTAAATGGCATAAAATCCAGTTTCATGAAATGCTACACAGGTATCTCCATGGAATGGCTCCTGATGCTGATGACTCATCAGAAGTTTCCGCGAGTGTGAGAAGTCTAGGGATGGGTTCTAACACAGACAACATGTGGCGTCTAATGCCATCACAAGTTCCGTCAAAGCCCACAGTGAATCCGAAAAATGATTCCCAGTTGCCGGGTAGCTCACCTCATCCATTCGAGCCTGTAATTGATGCAACAATTGCAAAACAACCCCAACATTGCTTCTTTAGCAATGACATAGGTTCACCTGGTAATTTTGCTAACGAAAAAGCCTTTAATGCTATTGAATATCCCTTCCTTTACCAAATATTTTTACGAATACGCTTTTTTGATGTCGAATACAGTAAAGCAGGAGCCACATCCAATGCGCTCGTTCTTTGACGAGTGGCCTACATCCAAAGAGTCATGGTCCAATCTTGATGAGGAATACGGCAAAAATAATTTCTCCACCACACAGCTCTCCATATCCACTCCAAATGCTCATACTGGATTCTCTTCAATGAGTACACGTTCCCCTAAATGGTGAAATTTTAGCATTTTTAGCTACCTCTTTTTCCATTATAGTTGCAACTAAGTGTTCCTCAGCCAGCTTATCACAACTCTTGCACTTTTATTGCGTGCAGATGCTTGAGGAAGCTGGCGCTGGACTAACTCTGAGTCGTCTCGGGTGCTGTGCGGCGAATGGTTGTTATTGTGCTAACTGATCTCTGTTTGTATGAGTTACATGCACTTTTTATATTACTGGTACATTTAGTCCTTGCATGTATTTGTATTTGTGCTTCAAATTCGATACTCTTTTAGGCAAAACTAGATGGCTTATAAGGCAACTGCAGCTCAAGTTTGCCATAAAAAATAATGTATTTATTCAAGTCAGTTTCTGGGTGAGATGATCAGTTTGTGGTTTCTTGCTATGAGAGATCAACCCATTTTATGGTTGGAAATTATCTTCTTTTTAAGAATTAGAAATGACACCAGGTAGCCTGGTTATCTTCAAATGCTACCTGGTTAAGTTCGTGTGCTTAGGTGCACTTGATGGATGTATCGGATCGTAGAAATGACACCAGGTAGCCACTCTAGACGGCTGCTTTCTAAGAATTAGCAAGTGCGTCTTGAGTCAAATTTTGAGACAAAAATGTCCTGCATTGTCCTGAAGATTTTTAGTTTAAAATTTCAGGACAAAACAAGTGGTGGCTTATCTCTAAATAGTATCCATGACAATGGCTATCTGTGCACTTGCCCCCACTTGATCTCTCACTATCCAATTTTCTCAAGGAAACTCATATCTCATTGCATCCTACACTTGTTTATAAGTTTTAGAAATTCAAATTCGTTAAACTACTTAAATTTTAAACTTTGATATTGCATTTTATCTACTTAACTAACTTTTCAATCATTATTTTAATATTTTATTTATTTCGAAATCACTGATATAATGTTTGAATCAGATCACACCTTGACATGCTCATGTACCAAGATTTAAATGTCCAATATGAATAGATCACCATCGTAATTCAGCAAACTGTTTTTTCGCATTAAAAAAGAGCAGTTTGGTGCACAAAATATTTCGCGTTCATACAGAGTTTGGGGAAGGGCCACACCAAACGAGTACAATGTAGACAGTCCATCCTAATGCAGATACTAGTGGTTGCTTCTACGGCTTGGACATATGGGCTATAAATCGCACGTGACAATTTTACCGTTGCTTCAAAGCTCCCCTTCAATTGGAAAAAAAAATTATATTTATATTTTTTGGTTTCTCACCCGGTGTCAGATATTCGTATTGGGGCCCGACTAAATCAGAATTCGCGTGGGAAAGTCTCATATTGTGCAAGAAAACCAGGCTTTGAATTTTCTTCTGCACCATTAGATGCTTCATGTTGTCCAAGGATTTCTATCCAAATTTTACATGACAAAAAAAGTTTTCTTGGATATTAAATATATCTTATAATTAACGTAATTCTAAAATTTATAAGTTTTTAAAAAATATATGTATAATTTTTTAAGATAACGCATCTAAAAATCTATATCTATCTATATTATATTAAGAGGATAGTGAAACATAAGGTTAAGCCAAGTGGCGTATTGAGAAAATGTCACTTGGCACATTTAAGACAAAATCTAAAAGACAAATCTAATCATATATATTTATATCTATATCATATAGTATAATATAGATCCAATCATCGATTTTCCTTTTATATTAGTTAAAATTGTCAATGTTAAAAATTAATTAAAAATTCATAGTAATAAAATAATTAAAAAAATATATAAAGACGTAGATTGAGATAACCGATGATTAATTATACTTTCGGGCAAGTTAAAGTATAAATAAAGTGAATAAATTTGCTTAAGATATTAAGGATTTGATGACTTTGGATTGAAAAATTTTCAAGTAGCAATTTTTTGTTTTACATAAAATACAGAAATTTATTTATAAGATAAGAACAAGAATTAAATAGTAATTAAAATATATATTTAATAAAAAGAATAATGAGGTTATATTAATGTTAGACATATCGAAAAAAAGAATATTTTATACATAAATACTTTTTTCTTAAAATAATGGTGAAAACATTGTTGCAGCAATTTGATTTTTTTTTTTTTTTACGATTAATATCTAAATTGAGTATTGTTAAGTTAAGAAAGTATAGGATGATTTTTGAAAATGCGGTTCAATTAAGAAAATAGAAGAGTAAGATATATTTGGATTTGAGATGAGATGTTTTTTTGAAAGATGATAAGAAAAATCATATTTAGGAATACGAGCAATAGAGTCAAAGTTATTATTGAAATAATTTCTATTTATTTTTATATTATATTATAATAAATATGATAAAAGTGGATGTTAAATTCAAGAAAACTAATAAAAATAATATTTAGTATTGAATATATAATAGCAAACTAAGGAATAAATAGAGAAAAAATCAAATTTTTTTATCATAAATGAAAAGGTAGGATAAAACTTATTTAAATTTGATATGAGATTTTTTTAAAGTATGATTAGAAAGTTCATGATGCGGATAAGGCCAGATATAACAACAACAACATACCCAGTAAAATCCCACTAGTGTGGTCTGGGGAGAGTAGAGTGTACGTAGACTTTACCCCTACCCCGAAAAGGGCAGAGAGGCTGTTTCCAGGAGACTCTCGGCTCAACAGGAGAGGCAATAATATCCGAAAAGAAACAAGATAAAAGACATGTAACAACAAAAGATACCAGAAAGAAAATAACCACAACAAATAAGTGAAAGGACAATAACACAAAAATATGCAAAACAACAACGTGAATATAACAAAGACCGCTAACAAACCTAAACGAAACTCTATCAGACTACCCGGTACAAAGAGGAAAGAACTCTCGGCTACCCCCTAGCCTACCACCCTAATGCTCGACCTCCACATGTTCCTATCAAGAGCCATGTCCTCGGAAAGCTGAAGCCGCGCCATGTCCTGCCTGATCACCTCGCCCCAATACTTCTTAGGCCGCCCTCTGCCTCTTCTCGTACCTGCCAAAGTCAACCGCTCACACCTCCTAACCGGTGCATCTAGGCTTCTCCTCCGTATGTGTCCGAACCATCTAAGTCGCGCTTCCCGCATCTTGTCGTCCACGGGAGCCACGCCCGCCCTCTCCCGAATATCTTCACTCCGAATCTTATCCAGCCTAGTGTGCCCACACATCCATCTCAACATCCTCATTGCTGTTACTTTCATCTTCTGGATATGTGAATTCTTGACTGGCCAACACTCAGCTCCATACAACATGGCCGATCTAACCACCGCTTTATAAAACTTACCTTTGAGTTTCGGTGGCACATTCTTGTCACACAGGACTCCAGACGCAAACCTCCATTTCATCCATCCAATTCCATACGGTGCGTAACATCCCCGTTGATCTCCCCATCTCCCTGGATAATTGACCCTAAGTACTTACAACTTTCTCTCTTGAGGATGACCTGTGAGTCGAGCCTGACTTCCACATCCGCTTCCCCCGTCATATCGCTGAACTTACATTCCACATATTCCGTCTTAGTCCTACTCAACTTGAAACCTTTAGACTCTAGAGCCTGCCTCCATACCTCCAGTCTCCCATTAACGCCGCCCCGCATCTCATCAATCAGAACTATATCATCAGCGAACAACATACACCATGACACCTCTCCTTGGATATGGTGTGTCAGTGCGTCCATCGCTAGAGCAAATAAGAACGGGCTGGGCGCAGATCCTTGGTGTAATCCCATAACCACCGGAAAAGGCTATGAGTCATCTCCCACGGTCTTAACCCAAGTCATAGCTCCATCATACATATCCTTTATTGCCCTAATGTAAGCCACCGGCACACTTTCACCTCCAGACACCTCCAAAGGATGTTCCTAGGGACCTTGTCATATGCCTTCTCTAGGTCAATAAACACCATATGCAAATCCCTCTTCCTATCCCTGTATAGTTCTACCAACCTCCTGATAAGGTGGATAGCTTCTGTAGTAGAACGGCCCGGCATGAACCCGAACTGGTTTTCCGATATAGACACTGCCCTCCTTATCCTCCCTTCCACCACCCTCTCCCAAACTTTCATGGTATGACTTAGTAACTTGATACCCCTATAGTTGTTATAATTCTGGATATCCCCTTTGTTCTTGTACATCGGAACCATTGTACTCCACTGCCACTCATCAGGCATCCTCTTTGTCCTGAAGATAACATTAAACAACCCAGTCAGCTACTCCAAGCCTGCCCTACCTGCATATCTCCAAAACTCTATTGGAATCTCGTCAGTTCCGGTCGTTTTGCCCCGACTCATCTTACCCATCGCACCTACGACCTCCTCAACCTTTTGCGCCTACAATACCTAAAGTCTCGATGACTCTCGGAGTACCCCAATTGCCCTAACACGATATTTCCATCCCCCTCTTCATTCAGAAGTTTATGAAAGTACGACTGCCATCTTTGCCTAATCTAGGCCTCTTCCATCAATACTCGACCGTACTCGTCTTTGATGCACCTCACTTGATCCAGGTCGCGAGCCCTCTTCTCTCTCGATTTGGCCAACCGAAATAACTTCTTGTCCCCACCTTTTCCCCCAAGTTCCTCATAAAGCCGACCAAAAGCAGCAGTCTTAGCCTCCATGATCGCCATTTTCTCCTCCTTCCTAGCCTTCTTATATCTTTCTCTGTTCGCTTTCCTCTGATCCTCGTCGGTGCTCTCTACTAACTTAATGTACGCCGCTTTCTTGGCTTCCACTTTACCTTGGACCACGTCATTCCACCACCAGTCGCCTCGGTGCCCGTCATAATAGCCTTTCGAAACTCCCAACACCTCGCTTGCTGCCTCCCTTATACAGTCCGCTGTCGCCGTCCACATAGCGCTAGCGTCCCCACCACTCTTCCAGGCACCCATATTCGTCAGCCGCCCCTCCAACTCCTGCGCATTATCCTTAGACAAATCTCCCCACCTGATCCTCGACGGACCCCGTACAAACCTCTTCTTCCTCTTCATCAAAATACCGACATCCATCATTAGGAGCCTATGTTGAGTTGCGAGATTCTCACTCGGGGTCACCTTGCAATCCTCGCATAACCCCCTATCACACCTCCTAAGGAGGAGATAGTCAATTTGAGTCTTAGCCACCATACTCCGGAAAGTAACCAAATGTTCCACCCTCTTCGGAAACATAGAGTTCACGACCACCAACTCAAAAGCTCTAGCGAAATCTAACAGTGAGGTAGCACCCCCGTTCCTATCACCAAAGCCGAAGCCACCGTGCACCTCACCATAGCCACCAACAGACGACCCAATATGACCATTGAAATTCTCGCCTATGAATAGCTTCTCCGTAGGCGGAATACCCTGCACCACCTCATCCAGCGCCTCCCAGAAGCACCTTTTTACCTCCTTGTCCAAGCCCGTTTGCGGCGCGTAAGCGCTAATGCCATTCAGAG